TATGATTAAAAGTGCAATTAAGAGCAATTACACATCTCCAATTTAGATATAAACTCAATTTCCATTTCTAGCTCCCTGTGGAAATCGATCCCAACCTTCTCGGGTAAAAGCTGCTTTGACCACTCTCGCTACTTTGTAGTAGTGCAGGGTTGGCTCCGATCAGCACTGTTTATCGCGGATGCTGAATATTCCTCATGGGGTAGGGAACTTGATGACTTAATATAAACTGGACAGGATGGCCCTTATGGAGTGTATCCACGGTCGCCCTATAATGGCATTTTAGGTTGTGTCTTGGTTCATGATATGGAATGTTGTTTCTAGGGTGATGCCCCCAGACAGAACGGACAATGTTATCTCTCTGGAGGTTCTTTCAACTGCATTGTTAAAACCTGTTAGTGTTATTCAGCGTGGTACTATCTTATCCTCCAGTGTCATTTTTGTGAGAACTCGGGGGTGGATAATACACGCGCCGCTCCCGTTGTCTACCATGATTCTTTTAACATTGGTATATTAAATTCGTAAATTAATGACAAGAGCATTGAAATGAGGAAAGGCCAAATAGTGGGTATCTAAGTTATCGAAGATGATACTGTCTCCGAGGTCATCATACCGTTTATGGGTGATCGACCGCATCAATTTGTATGTGGTGGTGAACTTCACATGGTTGATTGTTGCTTCATGCCTCCACCAATGATCATTTGGATGGTGCGGGCAGCGGAGGGTGACTTTGGGGGGCCTTGATGTGGTTCTCGTCCAAGGGCGAAATTGGCTCTCCCTCGGTCGCTCATCAACTCCTTTAAATATCCTTGGTGGAGCATGTTCACGACTTCTTGTCGTAAGGCCGTGCAATCCTCGGTCTTGTGGCCTCGTTCCTGATGGAACTCGCAAACGGCATTCGAATTTCTAGAATTTGGGTCCGACTTCATCTTTTGTGGCCAGTTAACCTTAGGACCGAGCTTCTCCAGGGCGTAAATTATTTCTGAAGGAGAGACACAAAAATTGTGAGCAGATAATAGTGGAGGCATACATCTTTCGTTTCGGTGAGTTCCCGTTTGTGGCCGGGAAGCCCCTTTGGGTTGACGGGGAGATAATGGGATGATCGCTCTGTTATACGGTTGGTTCCTTTCCCGATTGAGGTGTGTGCCTACGTGATCTCTTCAGTCGTCGTTCCGACGATCTTTCCTTGATTTTATTTGGACTGTCATTAGCCGTTGGGTCGGACCATTGAGATTGTCTTCATTTGCCCTCACCTAGGCACAATAAGCGTTGTGAATTTCTTCCTAATTGGTGGGAGGGTATTTCATGAGTCCGCTCAGTAATTTTCTGGTCGCTCTTGACCCTTATGTGTTTAACCCGTTTTGAAATGCCGCTACCGCCATCCCTTCTGATACATTCGACAGGCTCATTCTTACTCTGTTAAACCGAGCGAGGAAGTCCCTAAGTCCTTCGCCAGGTGATTGTTTGACGATGAATATGTCATTCACTCTCGCTTCAGCTTTCTTGGCCCCCACATGGGCAGTGACGAACTTGTCGGCCATTTCTTCGAACATCATTATGGAGCGTGCTGATAATTGTGAGTACCATGTTAAGGCTCCCCCTGTTAGGGTTTCGCTGAACTTCTTCAGCAGCACCGACGGTACCTGCTCTTTCGAGAGGTCACTGCCTTTTACCGCCGTGATGTAATGAATGATATGGTCTTCAGGGTTCATTGTGTTGTAGTATATTTTCAGATACGGTATCATTTTGAAAGTTTTGGGTATGGCATATGGGGCTGCCTTATTGCTGTATTGCTGTTCCACGAACCGGCCGATGTCCCATTTTGTCAGGAGTTTTGGGGCGCCTGGTATCTTATCAACTCTTTCTTGGTGCTCCCTCATTTGGTCGCATAGCGTTTTATTCACATTCTCCATTTTTTTCATCTTCTTTAGAACAACTACGAGGGCATCATTACATGCATCAACAACAGTGTGAGAGTTACCTGTTGGGGGAGGGGCATGTTGCTCGTTGATGGTTATTGGAGTGTCAACTCGTGCGGTGTTCCCACTCACCCCTTGAGTGGGTTTGTCGAGAATACTGCTTAGGGTACTTTTCAGCCACGCCTTCAATAACTTTTTCACTGCGGGCGGCGCTTTTTCCGTTGTGTATATGAAGGCTCCATTCTCATGTGAAGCGGTTACACTCCCATGAGGAGGAGGTGAATCACTTTGCCTGGGTGAGGCGCTCGGTGTCACATTCTCCTCTCCTTCCTTGTCCGCCTCGTTGATGGTGCCTATGAGATTGGTAGTGACACCCATCACTGCTTTCAATCTTTCCTCTCTTTTTCCTGCCATTGTTAACTTGTGAAAAAGGAGTTTTTTTTAGATCTAGAAGAAACTAAACTTTCTAACTAGGACCTCCCCACAGATGGCGCCAAATTGTATGACCAAAAATTTTTTTGGAACCCTTTTAATTAAACCAATTTAATAAATAGATAAGGGTGAATCCAAGTTAAAAGTAATCAATTCTAGATGCAAAATTAATCAACTCAGATGGTATGAGTCCGTGTCCAATTTAACAAATGCTGGATTAACGCTCAATGACTAGTAATTAATACGAGGAAGAAAACATGCAATAAATGTGATACATGGCATTAAATGTAATAAGAAGGAATTTGTCACCCAAAGGTTGGGTGAGATGGATGATTCTTTCCTCTGACTACAATGTGTGACAGTAGACAAATGAAGTGGACTATGTGTTCTTGGATCTTGTGAGCTAACGAAGAATATTATGTGATGGAACCAAACAAGCGAGACAAAACAAGCTTTTTGTATATTCCTGATAGTCAACTCTTTACAAGATATTTTTTAACAAAAGTTCCTAATCCCCTTTTGTTCCCTCTCTCTTCCTATTTATAAGGGATATCACTAGAAAACCCTAAAAAAGTATAATGTGGGGGAATATTCAATAGAATATTCCTTATTCATAATCACAGGAACATTCTAACAATTGCAGCCGTTGCTCTCTACTCGACCTCGACACTGGTCTCCCTCTTTGAGCGACTCCTTGCCACTAGACCATACTGTGTTTCAACCTCAGCCTCAGCTCGTCCGTCTGCATTCGCTAAATTAGACCTAATTTTGACCCATACAATTTTAGCATAGAAATGACACCACATAGCTCCTTTAAAAGACCGTTAGTTGAATTTCAATTTTTCAGTTCAATTTTTCGGGACAAAATATCATGATATATGCGAGCATTTGAGAAACAGAAAGCCTCTCCAAGAAGCTTTCACTGGCTGTTCCTTTGTAGCAACATTGGAGAAAAAGGATACAACCAAAGTCACACTAGCAAGAACACAAGAAAATGTATTTTGTTTGGCCAGCAATGTTTGCTTGTGACTGCTGATCTTTTAGCTTTTCTATTACTGCACTAGGAAATACTAGTTAAATAGCAACAATATCACAATCTATAGGTTCATACTTTTCAACATAATCTTGTTTTGTTTTTTAAGCAAATATAAGCTTATGTTCTTCCTTGCTATGAAGGGATTCTTGAAAAGTAGGCTCAATGATCAAAGCTAATCAAGTTCATACATGTAAAGAAAATGTACTGAAGATTAGTGTTATGTATTCTGAAATTGCTTATATATAATCATAAATTTAAATTCTAATACTCCAGGAATGCCCTTAGTGATAGACAAGAAAAAGAATAAAATAAGAGTTTAGATACCTATTATTTTGTTGAATTTAGGGATATAATAGAAAAAGGAGCACTTTCAATTTACTAGATATTTTCTTTTATTCTTGTTATAGGCAGAGATTAGTCAACACTTAGACAATTGAATAATTCCAACATATTAGAATGTTGTATCATGACAATAGAGCTAGGGCCATAAAGTTGATTGACTAGTTATTTCCATCCTTCTACACTGTGGAATTGACCTAGTCAATAGTCTAAAATCTGCTCTCTCTCTCTTTTTAATTTAAAAAAGGGTATATTTATATGAATAATTTTACCAGATATAGGTTAAAAATGCACTAAAACGTACTCTAATTCCTTTCTTGAATCACCACAATTGTTGTGGTTTTATAGTACAAATGTCTAGGCCGCGTCAATTGAAATCTCCTTCGTTACAAATTTATATTAGGGTAAAAATTAATTTTCTTGGTTATATATAAACTTTTTTATATTAATAAATAATGTAATGACAAATAAGTTCAAAAATGATTTTAGGCCACATGTTTTAATCTAACTGTGACACTTTAGTATTTTTTAAATTTTCTTATATAAATTCTTGGTTCTGTTACTGCGTATCGACATGAACTGAAGACCCCCTTTCAACTTTGGGTTTGAAAATTATTTTTTCCTATAACTTTGAGGGACCGGCAAAGGGAAAATACACAAAATAGTACTTTAATAATTCGGAAAAGGGCCATATATGTCAGTGAACTATGCGAATTAGGACTAATATGCCCGTCGTCAATAGTTTCATGCCCTCGGTTTAACGGAACCACACTATTTTGTCTTTCTTAAATAATGAATAACCGGACCAACCAAAATCTGCTGACCCGACCCGATCCACTCTTATTCAAAGATATTTTTTGATATATTATTTTTGTTTGATTGAGAAATTATGTGATAATCATATTTATTTATTTGAGTAATTTTAGAATCGATTTTTTTTATACATCATTTCGGGAAGTAATCCTACTAAAATTAGTAATTTATATTTATTATTTTAATAATATAATATTCGAACTAGTTTGTGCTTTCTTCAATCATTTTACCATCTTCAATCGTTAGGTCTTCTCTGTGCAAAACTATAAACGACATGCATATATGTCCTAAGTTGCATAGTTCACTAGTTTTCCGTTATTATTTAGCACTCGTCAATACGCTACAACTAATAGAAAGGACACACGACACAAAACATTAACTTACCAGGAAAAGTAGAAGTTGACTCTGAAGTCTTTGCAATTGATCCAAAACTCACGCACAAATTAACAAAAATAAATAGCCCCATTATTTTTCTTATGTATAGAGTAATATTCTTGATTTGTTTAAAAAATCATAAGTTTTCTTGTAATGGTTTCTTCCCTTTTTTATCTTCTATTGTTTCTGTTTTTCTTTCCACAACACAATTTAGCTCAAAATAATGGTAGAGTAGCTACTAGCACTTCTCTTACTGCAACAGATGAAACCACTCCATGGTTTTCACCATCTGGTGATTTTGCATTTGGGTTCCAAAAACTTCAAGATAAAGATCAATTCTTGCTTTGTATATGGTATGCAAAAATACAGGAAAAGACCATAGTATGGCATGCAAATATCAGTAATCCAGTGCCACGTGGATCAAGATTACAGCTTGATTCTCAAAATGGTCTCATACTTAGTGATACACAAGGCAATACAATTTGGAGAACTGATATGGTTTTTGGTAATATTGACCATGGATTTATGAATGATACTGGAAATTTTGTTATTATGGGAAATGATTCTGCTGATCCATTGTGGGAAAGTTTTAGAAATCCAACTGACACTTTGTTGCCAAGTCAAACATTGGAAAGAGGGAGCTTCCTTGTTTCTCAAAGATCAGAAGCTAATTTCTCTCAAGGTATTGCTTCGGTTTTCTGATTGGTGTGCTTGTTATTGCCCTTCCTTTTACCTTTCCTGAGCCGACGGTCTTCCGGAAACAGCCTCTCTGCCTTCTTTGAAGGTAGGGGTAAGTACTGCGTACACTCTTCCCTCCCCAGACCCCACTTGTGGAATTATATTGGGTTTGTTATTGTTGAGGGTCTATAGGAAATAGCTTATCTACCTCCACAAGGTACCGGTAAGGTGTGCATACATACTACCCTCCCCAGACCCCACTTGTGAGATTACACTGAGTTTGTTATTGTTGTATTGTGTGGCCGACTCATTTTAATTATTTAATTATATTATGTCCCAACATGGTATATGTATTACGAGAATCATCATGACTAATTGGTTAGTTTTCCACTGGCTGCCAGTCTACCGCAATCCTTCCTCCTTTATAAGGACTCTTTATCCGGACATGAAACCGGTGGGATTAGGAATATGTTTTAGTCATGTTAGTATATTTACTTTAGATCCTATGCTTTTTTGAAGTATCTTAGCCCTATTTGATATGTTCATGCCAATAGACATTATAGAGTTCCAGTACTTTTCGCTTATAATGGCCTGAGATGAAATTTAATAGAAGAAACATGGTGAGTGAGGATTGATATAGCCAATATCAACTTGTTAGGAATCGAGGCGTATTTGTTGTTGTATGTCTCAACACGCCCCCCCCCCNGCAGGGGCGTGTGGATACAATAATGTGTGCAATCTTGGTACAAACAAAAGACCAGTTTGTAACTGTCCTGAAGGATATTCACTAGTTGATCCAAATGATACTTATGGCAACTGCAAACCAGATTCTGCTGTAAGTTGTGATGATGTTGCAAGGGGGTCACCCGAAGATTTGTACAGTTTTATCACGGTTCGTGATACTGATTGGCCAATGTCTGACCTTCAGAAGATTAGCCCTTCTACTGAACAAGACTGCCAAAGTTTCTGTTTGAATGATTGTTTTTGTGCTGTTGCCATTTATAGAAGCGATAGCTGCTGGAAAAAGAAGCTGCCACTGTGGAATGGGAGAATAGACACCAGTCTGAATGCGAAAGCTTTTATCAAGAGAAGGAAAAATGGTGTTCCTCCTCTAAGTCCTGGGCTTCCAAATCCAGGATCTCCTCAAAGCAAGAATTGGCGAAATTGGGCAGTTGTGTCGTCCACGCTCTTAGGTAGCTCTGTGTTGGTGAATGTTCTCTTTGTTGGTGTACTTTGTTGGGGATTCTTCCACATTTATAAAAAGAAAGCGAAAACATTTCGCCCCACAAGTCATGTAGCAGACTCTATTTGTCATAGTTTTACATATAAAGAACTTGTCGAAGCCACAACAGACTTCAAGGAAGAGCTAGGCAGGGGCGCCTTTGGGATTGTTTACAAAGGAGTGATGCCTATCGGTTCAAGAAATGTTGTTGCTGTAAAGAAGCTGGATAGAGTTGCTCACGAAACAGAGAAGGAATTCATGACTGAAGTAAATGTGATTAGTCAGACTCATCACAAAAATTTGGTCCGTCTTCTTGGATATTGTAACGAGGGACCTCATCGCTTGTTGGTCTATGAGTATATGAGTAACGGCACTCTTGCAAGTTATCTTTTTGGTGATCAAAAACCTACTTGGAGCCAGAGGACGAAAGTTGCAATGGGGATTGCAAGGGGACTCGCTTACCTCCACGAAGAGTGCAGTACACAGATTATTCATTGTGACATAAAGCCTCAAAACATTCTTCTAGATGATTACTATATTGCCCGAATATCAGATTTTGGATTGTCTAAACTTCTGATGATTAACCAGAGCCGAACTCTTACCGATATAAGAGGAACAAGAGGTTATGTTGCTCCAGAATGGTTCAGGAATAGTCAGGTCACGGTTAAGGTGGATGTTTACAGCTTTGGAGTGTTGCTACTAGAGATCATCACTTGTCGGAAAAGCTTGGAGAATGAGGAAAGCTATGGACCGGAGGCAATTCTTACAGATTGGGTTTTGGATTGCTTTCATGACGGAAAATTGGAAGCTTTGGTAGAGACTGATACTGAGGCCTTGAATGACAAGAAGCAGCTCGAGAGGTTCGTGATGGTTGGTATTTGGTGCATCCAAGAAGATTCAACAATGAGGCCGACTATGAGGAAAGTCACTCAAATGCTTGAAGGATCTGTCGAAGTAACTACTCCACCTTGCCCTTATACATTCAGCACTACTATTTAAGATCACCCTCATTGACATTCTGCAATTTCCTCCGCTGTATATCTTTAATATCTAAATACTAAGGTAATGTTACTCATCATGTTGCATGTTCATTAAATTGTATGTTCTGCATAATTTCCTCAATTTTGTGCTGGTAACTGTTAATCTGTATT